TCCTATCAGGGAGTTGCAGAGAGCAAGAAGGTCCACCCTGAGCCTCCTTTTCTCCAGGCTGAGACACTCTAGTTCCCTCACCTGGTCTTCATCACACTTGTGCTTCAGACCCTTCCCCAGCTACCTTCCCTTCTCTGGACACACTCCAGCACCTCAATGTCTTTTCTGAAGTGAGGATCTTCTTACTGTGAGTGTATCTCCATCCTGCCTGTCCTTTGTCCTTCCCCTGGTTGGGCAGGGTGGTGGCACAGTCCTGGCCAAATTGCTGCATCCTCCATAGTGGGAAGGGGTGAGACAAAACCTCTGTGGAAGGAAGAGTGAGAAAAGAGGGAGGATATAAAGGCTGGGGTCTCAACACTAGGCCACAGTACCCAGTTGGAACAAAGGCAGGCAGTGCACACACATGGTCAGGCATCAGTGCTCTCCACGATGGTCACTTTGAGTCTGGAAGAGCAGCAGGTTAGGACCAGCACACCTCTCTGGGCCCCCAAACTGTTCCATCTCACGCACTCTGTGGGTAGGTAGGTACAAGGGTCCAGCGTTACAGTGGGTACCCCATTGCTGCCGAGGGTCTGTGACCATGCAGTCCATGGGTAAAATATCTCCTATTTTTCATCTTTGGTGGGCAATGGAAATGAGGACATTATTCTTTGCAGAAACATTTTGGAAAGTCACAGCTGAAATCTCTCACTTATCTCTTCCATCTGTTTATTTTTACCACTTAGTAACACGTCTGTCTCTTCAACTATTCTTGACACTGTTGAAAGAAAATTCAACTCCGCGAAGACAGTTTTATCAAAGAGACATTGGCTCTTCATTACTGTGTGACACCACATCAGCTCTTCTCCTGTGCATGAAGTCTGCTCTGTAATTTCAAAGGGTGTCTTCTATCTCTTTGAGGAGGTGATATGACCAATATATTTGAAATTGTTGCCTGTTAAGCAAAAGGTTATCCAAACTGTGAAGATAAGAAGCAACTTCAAGTGCTTCAAGGATTCTCATTTGTTTGATGATGTTTTTCTCTTCACTGCCACATGATGTCACAGACCTAATTTCAAGTGATTAGTAAAAATGGCAAAACAGTCCTTGAAATAATCTGTGATAGAGAATTCTGGGACAACATGAAGAGGCTGTGCAATCAATAATTTCTCACAATTAATAATATAAAGTCCTGGTCTGCAGACACCAGACCTGCTCCTGCCTCCACTTTCCAGAGGTGCCACAGCTCTCTGCAGAGGGCCAGTGTGTCTGAGTGCAGGTCAGTGCTGCTCACCTCCTTTTAAATTTGAATAATCTTGGGTTTATTGTCTTGGCAGTGGATCACTTCACTCACCTCTTTTGTTTAAAACTATGCTTCTGGTTTCATTTGTGAGCCATCCACCTGAAGGGGAGGCCTGGAAGAACTGAATCTGAACCACATGACATTTTCAAATGAACTGTTTTACCACCTTTCCTTTATTGTCTAGACCTGCCATAAGTCTTTGGTTTTATAAATTTTGGAACCAGCCAAGCTGAGCCAATGTCCTTATTTGCTATTTGGACAGGGAGCAGGGATATTTGAGGGACAGAGTTTTGGAACTCCCTGTTTGCTGTTCAGAATCACTGAGAACATGTACACTCTTTTGAGCATATTCTGGTAGCAGAATCTCAGCAGTACTGGTTAGGAGGGACCCAGTCCAACCTCCTGTTGAAAGCAGGATGGTTGCCAGCATTAGGATAGAGGAGAGCACAGCCATAGGTGTCTCCATGTGCAAAGCATGATGGATAAAGGCCATTTGTGACAGCAGCACCTGGATTTAATGATTCCAGACCTCCTCACTAGTCCTGAGCCTGGTATCTCCTTGTATCTTGTGCATGATCCTGTTGTGCTCACAGGAGGTTGACTGCCAGTCCCTTGTGTTCCAGAAGTGATCCTCAGCTAATGGAAGCAATCCTCAGCATTTCAGAAAAAAGGCAATTCCTGTATCAGATCAGTTCAAGAGATCACGCTATTCACTTTGTCCACATGAAAGGCATCATAACTGCCAGAGACCATGATAACCTGTCCTTTGGGAAGCTCCTTTCTTCTCTGGGAAGGAATGGCCACCCAATACCTTCAGGATCTCTCCTGCCTGTATAAGAAGCTACTTCCAAAAACTAGGGAAAGAGAACCAAAACTGCATTGTTGAATCTCAGTTTCCTTGTCTGTCCCTTGGTATGTTCTGTTCCACTGCAGGTGTATCCCCTCAACAGCACCATGAGCTCTGCACTGAAATGTGGAGTAGGAAATAATCTGGCAGGTTCTGTAGATCATGGAAAACCTCTAAGTGGAAAATAAGGAGAACCTACCAGTTTCGGAAGAGTAAATTCAAATTAACTCATGTGAGGAAGAAGGACTTGTTCCAAAAACATGGTAAGAGTTAAGTGAGCTTGTAAGTAAAATGGCCCAACATTGCTCCATATTGATTTTTTTCTCCCAGAAATTACTCCTTCAATGAAGAACTTGCCTTATGCTTCTCTCTCTCTTTGGCTGAGACTGGAGAGTGGATGATCTGGGACAAATCTACCTTTTCCTTGCTTTGGTCACAAGAAACCCAACTGAGAATAAACTTTCAAGAATCTGCTGCCAACAGAAGGGTGCCAGGCTCGGGTGCATCTGGCAGGGCACATGTAACACACTTCCTGACTGTAGCTGCGCCCCTGATTTTCCAGTAATGCACTGAAATGGCATTTCCCAGATTCCCTGATTTCCTCTGCCCCTTTTTTCAATCCTTTTGGGTGCACTTACCTTGTTTTGTCAGGAACTGCCAAACCTCAGCAAATGAACCAAGAACTGCCTCCCAAATGAATTCTGTAGCAGAAGGAGAGCATATCAGGCTGTTGTCTGAGGTCCTTTCCTTCAATACATCTGCAGTAGCAGAGAGGAAAAGAAGGGCATCTATCTAAAAATAAAACTATCAAACATTTAGGTGTTGCTATTTTCATCACATGTTGTTTTAAAGCTTTGGTTCACTTGGTGCCTCTTAAAGAAAATACAGCCTTGGGTGAAGGGAAGCACCTGTATTACCTACAGAAATGCTTTTGAGTGCTGAGCTGTTTGCAGCCTCTGGGCTCAGAAATGAGACAAGTAGAGGGTGATGCCTGTGGAAGGTATGGAGGCAGAGAGGGAATGTAAATTGGAGCTGATTTCTTGGTCCCACTTTACCTGCTGTTGCCTGGGTGCTCCTTCCTTCCCATCCTTCCAGCTAGCACAGGGAGCTGTGGAGCCCAAGACTGAAGATCGGGAAGGACGTGGTCAAGAGACACATGGTGATCTTGGATGACTTGTCTGTCGTGGATGCTGGGAGATGGAAACACAGACTCACAGGAAAATTTACAGGCACTCAACAGTTTATCCACCACGAGGGAATGTGGATTTCACATGTGAGCGGGGGATGAAGGCAGACACAGCTTCACCCCCTCCTACAATGACTCCAGCTATCATGGCCAGAGGCTCAGAACACAATCAAACTCCACCTTTTCAGTTCAGCTTATGTTCCCAGACATAACACACCATCATCTGAGGGGCATGGGAACATGGAGGTTCCCCTGGGCTTGGCTGCAGGGTCTTACTGAAGGAACAGGAGAGCTGGGGACAAGTGCTGTGGTTGACACCAGGACAGGAGGGCCACTAAGGCTGATCTAGCCACTCAAGAGCCACACTTACAAAGGCGATGGATAAATCACAATGAATCCTGACTTTTTACATCTACACATTTCACTTGACATCATTTCATCCTATCTAGTAATTTGATCCACCTTCTAAATCCAAATATCAGTACTTTCAGTTACCTAAAAAAAGAAACCATGCTCACACATAGGAGCCTAGAAGCTAGAGTTGAAAGCATAAAACCCCAGTAGGTCAACACTGAGTCACACTCTAGCAATTAGAGGGAAAATGAACACAGTTAACTCAGAAACACGTGAAGCTTTGTGCATTCAAAAACACCAACAGTGTTTTATTCAGAAAAACATAAAGACTGGTTTCGAATGAGATTAACATTCACGAGGTGATATTTGCCATAATAATGTGAGCCAGAAACAAGTCTTGTCCCAACAGTACAGGAGGGTGTGTATAATCCTCATAGAGGCAATAAACCCCCCCAGCTCCTTCCCAGTTACTGCAGGGCCATTCTCACTGACCTGTCCTCAGTGGCTGCTGGTGTTGAGTTGATCTTTGGTTCTCCCTATAAATAGTTTATTATTTTCTAGTTTAACTTCTCTATCAGTCCATCTTACTTAAACTACGTCCTGTGAACTTTTTATTTTTTTGAGTTTTACATTTTTGCCTTGGAGACTGTCTAGTCTGCAGCCAGATGGGGCCCCTCTTCTTTCCCTTTGCTCTACTCACTGTGAGGAGAATAAAAGCCTCCTCTGTTCTCTTTGGACAGGTTTCCAGCACTTGTAGGATGGTTTATCTGGAAGGAACATTTCAGATTTTTCTGTGCTGCAACAGACACCATAGACAAGGATGTATCTTTGCTGCTGAAAGAGAGAAAAACTGAGAAAATGCTCTTTCCAACCCTCTTTTAAATTTTGACAGAGCTCAGGCCCTCTCTCCATGTTACTACCCTTGACCTCTCAAGAAATTTTGCTCTCCAAGCTCTTTCTTTCACAGGACCACAACAGCCAGAAGGGATCTCCAGTGCTCTCTGGTCCAGCACCCCATCAGCTTGGATCAGATCACCAGCATCTTCCACAGTCCAGAGTGAACTGCCCTACAAGGATGGAGACACTTTACTGGGGTCACTGGTGCCTGTGGAACTATTGGATCACCCTTCCAGCAACCACCTTTATCAAACAGATGTTAGGGAAGCACTGTCCACCCAGGACGTCCACTGGGCCCTGCTCACCCTGTGGCTCTCTTTGGACAGCTGGCTGTCCAAGGAAGGTAGTACTTGAGGTTGCCCACAGCACAGATAGGCACTCAGAAAAGCAATTTGCATTAATAATAACTTTTTTGAGGTTATTCTTTATCAATCTCATCTCTCCTGTAGGACACCGCACCTGAGAGGAACTGGGGACTGCACGGGGCTGAACACCTTTTAATGCCCCTTGGACCATGCTGGAAGGGGCAGGTGTCAGTGTATCTGCTACTCCTGGTGGCTGTTCCTGGTGGAAAAACCAGCCTCCCCCTAAACACACACTGGACAGAACTTCCTTTTCCTGGCAAGTGACTGTCACCCCAATTATAAATACATTCTTCAGAAACACATAAGTGCATAACTTAACACCTGCTTTGACACAAGCATGGGAAGAAAACCACAGTGACCCCAGGGAGAGCTCACACCATTTCACCTGGTCCCCTTGGCGCAGCCCCATGTCCCTTGTACAGGTGTGATGGGAGCCAGCAGCCATGGCTGGGACTGGAGCCAGGGCTGTAGTGTTTGGGGGTTTCTCATCACATTTAATGCTGCAACGTTTGTTTTCAGGCAGAAAATACCAGCAGTGCCCTTGACTTGTAGCAATGCCTTGGCAGTGTTATGACTGTCCACAGGGGTGGCACTGTCCTCTGCAGACACTACAGTGACTGCCCACTGATCCCGATGCTCACGTGGAACCGGGGGTAGTCCCAGTGGGCTTCAGGCCCTGCACACCACAGAGTGAGGATGGGAGAAACCTTTCCCAGAAAGCATCCTTGGCCTCAGTGGGACAGGGCGATGCTGAGACTAGGAGGCAGCTGTGGATTCTGATGGATTCAGCACTTGAAGAGCTACTGCCTCAGTTAAAACCAGGGCAGAGGGTCAGGGGCCAGCCCGAAGCAGCGCTGAGCAGAGCTCACCCAGGTCACTCTCGTCGTTCTCCTCGGGCTCGCTGTTGAAGGTGGAGGGGCTGCTGCTGGGCAAGCTGTGGCCAGAGCCTGTCCTCCGGGATCCTTGTCCCTTTGGGTCTGGTGTGTCCTGGAGACACACACTGCCTGTGCCACAAGTAGTTTGCTGGGAGTCTGGCTGAGAGTTGTTCCTCTGGCTGAAAAACTGCCCCAGCAGGGATTTCTGGAGGGTTGTTTGCAGGCTTTCACAAGTCCTCTGCTTTGTGCTCGGCTGGGTGTAATGCAAATCCAACTGCAGGACCACATCCGTCTGAAAGGGGAGAGTGGAGCACGCTAAGCGAATTGGAGCCTCAGACTGGAAGCAGAGCTTTCCTGCTGTTGCTGCCAGACATGAGAGCCTTGGCCGGCTGTTGAGCAGGCTCACAGCCCCATGCTGTGGCGTGATGGAGCAATGCTACTGCCAGAGAAAACAAGCTGTTACATACTCACACAGCTCATGACGTCTGTGGGCCTCAGCCATGGATTCTGGATTTCAGGACTTCTCCTGAAATCAGGCTACCTCACTTGGGATCTCATCAGCCCCATCAGTGAGCCCCAGTGCTCACTGTCACTGTGAGCATCATACCCAGGATGCTGGCATGGGGGAGCAGGAGAGGAGGCAAGAAATGGCACAATGCCCATCCTGACTGTGGCTGGGACCACTGCCCAGGGGAGAAGAAAGCATGAAAGGGAGGGATATGAACTACTCCCAACCCTGGAAGTGTTCAAGGCCAGGTTGGATGGGGCTTAGAGGAACCTGGTCAAGTGGAATGTGTCCTGCCCATGGCAGGGGGGAGGAACAAGGTGAGCTTTAAGGTTCCTTTCAACCCTAACCATTCTGGGATTCTAGGAACTGAAACATACATCACACTGTAAAGGGCAACAGCTTTAAGTAGCAGCATTCCACAGGGATCCATTCACAGCCTAGCACTATTTTAGAATTTTATAAAAGATGAAGAAATCAGAAAATAAACCATGGCAGCCAAAACCCTGAAAGCAAACCCCCAGCATGGGGCTGTGCCTGAAATGCCTGGCTGCACAGAGCAGGGAGATGTGTAATGGAACAAGAAGATTTTGACAGGCAGTGCAGGGTCCAGGTCTCCTGTCTGCACTTAAATGGAATGCAGAACAGTTGGGAAAGGTTCAGAAAAGAGCTCCAGGAACAATCAAGGACTGAAAGCATTGCCATATGCTGAAGCACATCACGTACTCAGCAAATGGAGCTCGCTGTGGGCAGCAGCAACCCAGACTGAGAGCAGTGCTTGGTGCAAGATCCATGGGCTGTCCCTCCTGGGGAGGAGAAAAAGTCAAAGCAGAAACAAGGTGCACACTGCTGGTAAAGACAAGCCAGGGGACAAGCAATTCTGCCTCTCTCATGGTCTTTAAAGAGTTTGAGGATGTTTTTAAATGTGTCAAAGAGGCACACTTTGGATCAGGCTTGGAAGAGTTACTCTGATGACAGAAGCTCCTGGCCAGCTCATGAGCACATCTCTCAGGTAAGAAGTAAAGACATCCTTCATGTGAAATACTTGGGCAAGTCTAACCTCCCCTAGCCTGATGGAGCAAAGAACAGCCTTCCTGGACAGGTAGCAAAGAAAAACAGAGCAAGCTATGATGGGTGATGCCTCTTTCCACTCCCAGGGCAGCTGCTGTGGATCAGGTTTGTTGGGAGGGCCAAGCAGGGGAGACAACACAAAAGCAAAGAGCATCCATGCTCAGGCTCTGCAGGCTGATCTGTAAATCAGAAAGGTTTTGCTGAGGTGGAAAAGGTGAGGTGAAAGAGGACAGTTCCTTTCTTATGGAGCCAGGCTGGGAGAGCTGGGGGTGTTCAGCTGGAGAAGAGAAGGCTCCAGGGAGACCTCAGAGCTCCTTCCAGTGCCTAAAGGGGCTCCAAGAGAGCTGGAGAGGGACTTTGGACAAGGGCCTGGAGGGACAGGACAAGGGGGAATGGCTTCCTACTGCCAGAGTATGCAGTTAGGTGGGATACTGGCATGAAATTCTTCCCTGTGAGGGCAGTGAGGCCCTGGCACAGGTTTCCCAGAGAAGCTGTGGCTGACCCATCCAGGAAAGGACTTGGAGCAACCTGGGATGGCGGTAAGTATCCCTGCCCATGGCAAGGGGGTGAAACAGGATGAGCTTTAAGGTTCCTCCTAACCCAAGCCAGTCTGTGACTGTGAAAGAGGATGGCTTTTGTTCCTTGAAGATCAACAAGCTCCTCTAACACTGATCTGGATGTGATACTGGCACATCCAGCTGCACCCGCGGGCATGGGGAGTACCAGTTATGGGAGGATGTAGGGAGCTTCCCTCAAAGAAGCACCTGGAAGCTCCCTACCTGAATTTTCTGAAGTCCACAGAGCTGGAAGACGCAGTCCAGCTCCTCCCACTTGTACACGGAGGCAAGCAGAGTCTCCACATGGTCCAGATGGCTCTCCCTCTGCATGGCCAAGGCCTCCATCTCCTGGATCAAGAAAACAAGGGGGAATGCAAAGAAATTTCGGCATCAGTATGGAGCATTGAGGCACAAGTGCCCATCAAATGTGCTGCTTCTTTGCACAGCAAAGCCCAGGGCTTTTATTGACATGCTGCATGGTAGAAATGCTGTGTATCCTAATGGAAGTACTACAGGGAGCAAGCAACAGAGATTTTAGACACTCACCTTGTGAGTATCAATGAGAAGACCAAGCTAAACATCCCCTGAGTACATCTGCTGGGAAAACTGGAGTATAATGGGATTTGCAGCAGAGCAAAGAGCAGCTACAGCCAGTACCACAACCATTGGTAATGTCAGCACAGTGTCATGGAAGGAGCAAGTTTTCCAAGGGCATAGCTGGAGGAAGCTCAGAGTTGAGCCGTGCTGAATTAGCCCCCCACCATCTACAGAACTGCCAATTCTTGCTGAGTTTATCCAACTTAGCCAAAACAGCCCTATCTCTATGAGATCCTCTTCAGTATTGATCATATCTTGGAGTCACTAATAGCACAAGAATGGACAAGGGCCTTTCAAAATCATTGATTCATGGAATATCCTGAGTTGGAAGGGATCCATAAGGATCATTGAGTCCAACTCCTGGCCCTGCACAGGACAACCCCAAGAATCCCACCATGTGCCTGAGAGCATTGTCCAAATGCTCCTTGAGCTCCAGAAGGGTTGGAGTCATGATCATTTCTCTCGCTTTGGATTTGAGCCCTCCAGGATGGGTAACAGATCACAGTCCAGCAGCCCCTTCTAAAAGGTGCTTCCCTCTGTCAGCTTGCTCTGGCAACTCTCCCAGTGCAGTTCTTAGCAGAAGTTAAGGATTGGGCATGGTGATGAAGGATGCTAGTCTCAGGGGTCTGGGAGTCCTGATCTATGTGTAAAAGCACTTTTTGTTTCATAGAATCATAGAATTACCTGGGTTGGAAGAGAGGTCCAAGATCAACAAGTCCAATCCTCGATCCAACCCCACTGGGATGATTAGATCATGGCACTCAGTGTCACATCCAGCCTCATCTTAAAAACCTCCAGGAACGGTGAATCCACCACCTCTCTGGGCAGGTCATTCCAATGCCTGATCACTCTCTCTGTAAAGAACTTCTTTCTAATATCCAACCTAAACCTCCCCTGGCAGAGCTTAAGCCCATGCCCTCTTGTCCTACTGCCGATTGCCTGGGAGAAGAGACCGACCCCCACCTGGCTACAACCTCCTCTCAGGGAGTTGTAGAGAGTGATGAGGTCACCTCTGAGCCTCCTCTTCTCCAGACTAAATAACCCCAGCTCCCTCAGCCTCTCCTCATAGGACTTGTGCTCAGGTCCCTTCACCAGCCTGGTTGCTCTTCTCTGGACCTGCTCCAGCACCTCAATGTCCTTCCTGAACTGAAGGGCCCAGAGCTGAACACAATACTCAAGGTGTGGCCTCACCAGAGCTGAGTACAGGGGAAGGATCACTTCCCTGCTCCTGCTGGCCACATTGTTCTTGATGCAGGCCAGGATGCCATTGGCCTTCTTGGCCACCTGGGCACACTGCTGGCTCGTTCAGCCTCCTGTCAATCAGTACCCCCAGATCCCTTTCTGCCTGTCTGCTCTCCAGCCACTCTGTGCCCAGCCTGTAGCGCTGCAGGGGACTGTTGTGGCCAAAGTGCAGGACCCGGCACTTGGCTTTGTTGAACTTCATCCCGTGGGAATCGGCCCAACTCTCCAGCCTATCCAGGTCCCTCTGCGGAGCCCTCCTGCCTTCCAGCGGGTCGACACTCTTCCCAACTTGGCGTTGCAATTAGCAATTGCAAATTTGCCAATGATGGACTCAATCCCCTCATCTAAATCATCGATAAAGATGTTAAACAGGACTGGGCCCAGCACTGATCCCTGGGGAACACCACTGGTGACTGGTTGCCAACTGGATGCAGCCCCATTCACCAGCACTCTCTGGGCCCGGCCCTCCAGCCAGTTCCTGACCCAGCACAGAGTGCCCTGTCCAAGCCATGGGCTGCAGCTTTTCCAGGAGTATATTATGGGAGACAGTGTCAAAGGCTTTGTTGAAGTCCAGACAGACACATCCACAGCCTTCCTCTTATCCACCAGGCAGGTTACCTGATCATAAAAGGAGATTAGGTTGGTCAGACAGGACCTGCCCCTCCTAAACCTGTGTTGGGTGGGTCTGATCCCTTGTCCATCCTGTAGGTTCTGTGTGATTGCACTCAGGATGATCTGCTCCATAACCTTGCCAGGCACTAAGGTCAGGCTGACAGGCCTGTAGTTTCCCAGCTCCTCCTTGCAGCCCTTTTTGTGGATCAGTGTGACATTTGCCAACTTCCAATCGTCTGGGACCTCCCCAGAGAGCCAAGACTGTTGGTCAATGATGGAGAGTGGCTTGACGAGCTCTTCTGCTAGCTCCCTCATCACCCTAGGATGGATCCCATCTGGTCCCATGGACTTGTGTGGATCCAGGTGGCTCAGTAAGTCACTGACTATTTCCTCCTCGAATACAGGGGGGCTATTTGGCTTCCTGTCCCTGTCTACCAGCTCCAGAGGACAGCTGTCCCAAGGGCCACCTGTCCTACTGGTGAATACTGAGGCTAAGTAGGTGTTAAGTACCTCAGCCTTCTCCTCATCCCTGTTAACTACGTTCCCCCCAAAGTCCAACAAGGAATGGAGGTTTCCCTCACCCCTCCTCTTGTTATTAATGTATTTATAGAAGTGCTTTTTGTTATCCCTAACAGAAGTAGCCAAATTGACTTCAAATTGCGCTTTTGTCTAATTTTCTTTCTCCATGACCTAGTTATACTCCTAAACTCATCCTGAGTAGCCAGCCCTCTTTTCCATAGTCTATAAGCTCTCTTTTTAACCCTCATCTCCTTCAGAATCTCCCTGTTCAACCAAGCTAGTTGTCTACCCCGCGGGCTTGCCTTTTGGCACACTGGTACGGCCTGTTCCTGAGCACTCAAGACTTCCTTCTGTCCATCCCTCCTGTAACCCCTTGTTTTCAAGGGTTTTTTCCCCAGGGAATGCTCTGGACCGGTCTTCTGAACAGGCCAAAATCCCCCCTCCGGAAGTCCAGCATAGAGGTTTTATTGGTGGCCTTCCTTGTATCCCTGAGTATTGCAAACTCTATTATTTCATGGTCACTGCGCCCCAGGCAGCCTCTGTCCCCTACATCTCCCACCAGCCCCTCTCTGTAAAAAACAGGTCTAGTGGGGCCCCACCCTTGATAGGTTCATTTACCAGTTGGAACAGGAAATTATCCTCTGTCCCACAGATTCAGCCCCAAATGGGCTTTGGCTTTCTGAACCCCAGGTCTGTGTGCTTGAATCATATCTTTACAGTCCTCCTACATCACCTGCCCCTGCTTCCACCTCTTGTACACCTCCTTTTCACGTGTGAGCTCAGGTAGGAGCCCCTAACACATTCATGCAGGCCTCCTGCTGTCTTTGCTTGACTGCCTGTTCATCAGGATCACTGAAAATCCCCCAGCTCTACAGGGCTGTGTCCCACAGGAACACAGCTCTCCAGTCTAGTGACTTCAAGACATTCAACTACGAAAGAAGCGACCTGATGTGTTTGCCTTAGCAGGAGGGCTGGACTGGATGATCTCCAGAGGTCCCTTCCAACCCCAAACATTCCGTGGCTCTGATCTCAAGGGATCAATTAAAACTCTGACACATGAGATTCAAAGTCCTCAGCTACAGCAATTCATTAACGACAAGAATCTACACTCTGCTAAATTCCCAGCGTCCACAGCTTTCTGTTCCACAACCCAATTCCCTTCCATATTCTCCATTATCATTTTTGGCTGTGTAGGAGAAAATGGAGAAAAGCATTTTCTAAATTAATTTTTTAGCCAATTCATACTTATTTATAAACCTTTCCCCATGGTGGAATACATTTTTTAATGAAGATGATGCCCAGGAATTGGCAAGGCCAGAGTTTTAGCTGAAATACAGATATTCTAAATAAATGGGGGGAAGGGTGATTAGAAAGGCCATTCGGTCTAGCAGCTCCAGATCAAGTGACTGGAAAACAAGGAGATCCAACATAAAGGTTTTCAGAAAGTAAGGATTCAAACAGTATGGGGAAAAAAAAATGGGAATGCCCTAGCTGTCTGCATCATTCCATTCTACACATGTGCTAGAGCAGCCTCTCCCTCTGAAGACAGTGCTTGTCAGGTAAAAATGCAAGTCAGGTAAGACACAGGATGGGAGGGATTATGGGACAACTAAAGAAAACTGATCAATGCCAGAAAATTCTCTCTTAATTATCCCTGGCAAACACACAGCAAGCCCAGTTAAATCCCTTTGATAAGCAGAATGTGGCAAGTCACTTCAGCAACTCCAACTCCCTCAGCATCCCCCGGGAGGGCTGGCAAAGAGATCCTGGCAGAAGCCCTGTGCCCTCCTGCAGACACCTGTGCACTCCTGCGGTCCCAGGGGTGTGGGGGTGGCCTCTGTGGGACAACTGGGGCAGGTGCCAGGGCCAGTGTGGTCGGACGATGGTGGGAGGACGTGCTGCTGCATAGCAGACACCACTGGAGGTCAGTGTGAGCCAGCACCGCCATGCAGTGCAACAGGGACAGGGATCCCATTGCCCTGGCTGTACTGGAGTCCCTTTTTTTGTCTCCCCAACCCTCTTAAGACAGCTCCAGAGGCAGGAGCCCACGGCTGGGCTCCCCTTTGCCCTGAGTCACTGATGTGGGGTGGATGCATATCTGCTCACACACAGACACACACAAACGTTTTTCATGCATGATTAGGGAGCTCACAAGGGTAAACAATGCTCCAGCTTGGGAACAGGTAGGATCAGGCTCCAAACCTCCTGGATACACCATGCTGCATCAGTGACTCCAACGTATGGAGGAGCATCGTCCCTCCACAATCGAGGGCTGAAAAATCCACTACAATCAAGCTACACTCAGCAAAAGGACTAAAGAAAACAAGGGAGATGGTTAGCAGAAAGGAGCAGCAAGTTAAATCCTTAGGGGTGACATGGAGATCATGGAGACCACCAGGAAAGACAACGCTGGGCACATGGTCTGTTAGGAAAGGTGTGAGAAAGGGTGCAAGGAAGCTGGTATGGCTCAATAGGGAAGAAATATGGAATATGAGCAGAGCAGGCTAAGAATGCATGATTCAAAATGCCAGATCTGCTTCCAAACATGGAAAAGGAAATGCCTCTTCACCTCAGTCAGATTAAATGCAACTAATTTAAACAAGGAGGCCAGAAATCAACCTGAGGGGTAACTGGTGAAAGCCATCAAACTGGTGCCAAATCCTTTTTGTGATGTATGAGGAGCAAGGCAGGCAGCCTGTAGGGAACCCACTGAGGCATGGAAGGAGCCTGAAGGAGGTGTGTGCAGAGGAGGAGATCCTTATCCACCTGGGATCAGCCTTTCCCAGCCATCAGGACACCCTGGGTTCAGCCCAACCACACTCCCACTTGTGCCCTGGGGAAAGCAGCCCAGGAAGACGAGCTTAGAGGACTCACCGGGGGCTGGCAGAGCAGGAGGAAGGGGGCAGTGACATGGGCGGGGGGGGGCTGCAGCTTTGCACATACAGACATCAGGTTGGAGAAGAGCCGCAGGAAGCGGAGCTCTGCCCGGGCCCCGCAGGGGAAGGTCAGCATTCTGCTCAGCGACTCTGGAAGGGAAATTCAAGAGGGATCAGCTCCTCAAAGGGTCCAGCCAACATCTCCCTGCAGCCCGGTATCCCTGAGGGGCACACGGACCTCCAGCCCTCTCCTCCCCATGCCCTGCATGGCTCACCATGGCTGTGTCCCCAGCACTTGGCACCTGAGCTGGAGGGACAGATGGGGTCTGTCAGAGACCGGGCTTCCTTCAGGGTGTGTTTGATCTCCATTACCTGCTTCCCAGTGACCAGGGGATCCCGGCCAATGTCTGTGGGAAAGAGATGGAGGCACATGGGTCACTCCAGGTTCCTTATTGATCTCCCCGCCTTTCAGACCTTACATCTCCATACTGCTACCAGGCTACTGAGACCTCACATGGGGCATAGCCTGAGATCTGGGTTTAAGGGAGGAACAGCTGGCTGGCTGGCTGGGATGGTGTGGTGCAGAACCACTTGGTCTCTGGTCTCTCTTTTCACCCCTTCTACTGAAGCGAGTGGTTTCTCACTTGTTCCCTCACCTTCTAAGACATCCTCCAACATGTGTGTAACCTTCTTCTCTTTCAGAATGTGTTTCTTCAGGTATTTCATGAAGATCCCAGAGCTGAACTCCCCATCCTGCAGTTCATAGGCTTCTGCATCTTCGCTCCTGCAAGAATAAGGACATTTCTTCAGAGTCCTCACATTTCTGCACCAGGCACAAAGTCCTGAGGGTGAGTCTGGGCTTGCCAACTTCATCCAAATGCTGTTGGCTGTGCTTCTCAAGGAATAACACAAAGTGCTTGGGTTTGGCCCAGGAGATGGTGGGAATGGCACAAGATGGGAAAAAGCAATGGAAAGGGATAGAATAGGATAGGAAAGCACTGTCTCCAGCCTAGGCAGGTGACAGAAGGAAAAAAGCCAGAAAAGCTGCCTCCAAAAGATGGAGCAGGAAACAGCACCCATCATCTCAGGAGGCTTCAGGTGGGCTGTTCATGGCACATGAACCTGGGGAATCAGGCTCAGGCCTGAAGGACAGGTGACAGGAGCTGAGGTCACCTGAAGCACAGGCTGCCATGAGTGGTGGCAGGAGGAAGGACAGAAGTGTCTGAAAAGCAAATGCAGCAGATGGAGGGTAAGAGTCAGAGGAAACATAATGAAGCCCTCTCCAGCCTCCAAAGCCACTGTGCACGAAAGGATGAGAGAAGGTATGGCTGTGTCAGCATCTTGTCCTGTGTGCCAGCGTGAGGACAGCAAAGTGCACTTACGTGGCATAGCCATAGACAGTATTTCCCCAGGGCTCCAGCGGCTGCACCTGGGAGAGGGCACGTCCTGAGTTGTACCTGGAAGAGAAAGAAAAGGCGTGAGTCAGTGTTGAGGACATCTGTCAGCTGGAGGGGACAAAGCCCACAGGCTTCCCCATATCCATCTCTAAGGGATGGCAATAGGATCAACCCTCACCTCAGATCCAACCACAGAGATGAATGCTGGGAGTGCCACCAAGAACCCAAACCACAGAGAAATGAGTAGATAGGTCTAGCTGTGACCTATCTGCAGTGGTGAGCTGCTCCCTGCCCCACACTGAGCCTGGAGCTGTGGGGACAACCTTCCCTCCTCCCTCCCAAGGCTGGATTTTAACAACTCCATGCAGCAATGAAGTGCAGAGAACACATGGGGTCACCGTGGCCCAGTGGACAACTGTGCCTGCAGAAGTCAGAGGTGTGCACAACACATGCTTACGGCTCAACTGCCTGTGCCGGGGTCTGGGGCACACCACAGGGCCCCTCCAGACTACACACGCACTTCTGCCTCAGTGAACCAAAGCAGGTTACAGCTCAGACATCCCCAGATCTCACTGAGAGATGGGATCAGAAGACATACACCCAGGTCTTGACGCCCAAAACTGACTCCAACACCCTGGTCTAGATGCAGCTGAATGAGTGCAGCTCCTGCTATTTCCAAAATCAGGTAGAACCATGGGTGACAGGCCTGGTTTTCACCAAAAAAGATCTCATGGTTGCACTGAATGGTCAAGCCTTGCCCATCTGACAGCATGGAGACAGGCTGCCTCCAGTTCACACCAGTGATGTGGAGTTGTTCCCACTCACATAGTGACAAAAGCCAGGCAGAGAGGAAGCATTATTCCACATTATTCAGTTCCAGCATAGCTTCCTGGGACTGAAGCTGGCACACTGAGGAGAGCAGAAGGGACGGCTGTATCACCAGCAGCCAGTGTCACCTACTGCTGGTAGCACAGTCTGGAGATGCTTCAGGCAGGATTCAACTGGCTTCTGTAAGTTGTCTTAAAGATGATCAGAAGAGAAAATGTGAGAAAGGAGATACGCTTCTAAATATGAATATTGAGATTTATCTGCTCCTCAGCTGCTCCCACATTAATGCAGAAATCTGGCATTCCAGGTCCAAGGATAAATCAGAGAATTCCTAGCATTCGCCCAAAATCAGCACATAAATGTATGAGGCTACACACAGGTTTCATGTTCCTGGTTCCTCCTCTGCTAAAGCTGAACATCTGCTCCACTTGGCAAGGGAGGATGTTTCTCACCACCCCAGCATTTATGATGCCAACATATGGGGTGAGGAGATGCTCTGGGTGAGGTCCCTCTCAGCACAGACATAGCTCCTCCTGGTTTGTGCACAAGCTGCTGACAGACCTGCAGCATCAGTTGGACCAAAAGGACCTTGGGAAAGGAGACCCTGGGAGCCTTGTTTTACACAGTGGTGTAAACATGCACAGCTATGAAATCCAGACACTTTCCCAAGCTAAAATGGTGACTTCTCAAGAAAAGGGAGCTCAGGAGAGTTTCTACAGCAATTCCCCACAAAATCAGGGATAACACCCACTGCATGAAGTGCTGTGCTCGTTGTGGGAAAGGGGGAGGGGGGCGTGAGCTTTGGGGAGGAGAGAGAAAAACAGCTGCACAACCTTGCCTAACCATCCCAGCAGATCTCACACTGCACCCTCGTTCCAGAGCCCATTGAGACTCCACTAAGCACAGGAATGCCAAGGAAGGAGACAGCGGCTCAAAGGCAGACAGCAGCTCAAAAGCTGCTTTACAGACTGTTAACATTTGTGTTGGTGATCCCTGTGCAGCTTCCATGTCACCTCCCCATCACACACTGCCCTTGGACAGCAGTCCAGAGGTGCAGCTCCAGCAGTGTATCCATAAGAGCCAGGTGCTCCTGCTTGACTGCATGCCATCCCCCACCTGTTATCCTGCTGGGGAGAACAGAAAGGTGCTGCCAGGTGTGCCAGGGAGGCAACACACTCTGCTTTCAGCAGAGAGCAAGAAGGGAGAAAGGGGATGCTTCACTCTGGGGAGTTCAGGGCAGGATCAAGGCACATTAAGATCTGGTGACACTGGCAATTCAGAGCTGCAGGATAAGTCCCTGCACAGCCAGCTTTAAGCTATTCAAAGTAAACATCCCCACCTGTGCAGCTACAAGGCATGAAAGATTTATCCTCTCTCCAAGGGCTGGCAGCTCTTTCAGGGTATCAAAATCCCTGTCATCTTTCCAGTTCTTAGCACAGGAACCACAGCAGGAAGAGAGAGACTTTCCTGAATTTGCTCTCCAGGTCTTTTCTGACCTGTAAATCTGCCTCAGGAGACTGAAATAAATGAACTAATGACAGCTTCTACTGCAATAGTCCACCTACCTCTGCTGAAATTGGACAAGTAGTAATTTTCTGCAGCAGGATAGAGGTCTGCAGGCCAAGGGAGGATGATGGGCTTTCCACAGACAGCGGGAAAATGCTGATCTCTGGCCTCAGCAGCAGCTGTTTCACAACACAACCACTTCAGAAGGATTTAAGGCCAGTAAAAAGCAAGTAGCAGGGCTTAAAATATTTTCTCCATCATGCTGCACTCTTCTCACTGAGATGTTAATAAGAATGCAGCCAGGAGAGAGAGGTGAGCTGAACACTCCCAGCCTGAGCACTTGGGAAACACAGACCAGGAAAGCCCATGATCAGCAAGATCAGGTCAGGTGGGTCAGCCTTGAAACACAAAAGACAAACCCTGTGCTGAGTTTCAGCCAACAATTTATGCCAGACACAGTCATCGCTCCATGGGCTTGAGGCAACCTGCCTGTATTTGCCAGGCTTCTTCACCTCAAAAAATCCAGGGATTTTTCAAGCCCCTTTCTCTCCAGCAGATCTCAGACAACATCTGACGCTCTCTACGCTAACATGTGAATGACCCATCTTTCCAGAACATCCTGCATGACCTAAAAGTGCTGCTGATTCTATGACACAAGATCACTAACCTTTGATGGAGCAGCACCACAGAGGACATGGCCCCAGCAATCCAAGGGAACACCCCACAGGGGGAGCTGAAGCCCAGAACTGAGGCTGGACTCTTCCCTCAGAATGGACACCCTCAGAATGCCCATCCAAGGTGAGGAAGGGGGAAGGGCACCCTACCACTTCCTGCAGGTGTCCAGCAGGATGACGTTCAGGGCTGTCTGCTGCTGCTGCATCTTCTGGAGGATCCTCTGAACGCTGATGCAGTTCTCAGGGGTGTAGGGCTGGGGGGCATCAACAGGGACCATGTAGTTCCTCCCCAAATGTTCATACCCATGCCCGGCATAGTAGAATATAGCTGAGAACAGGGAGAGGAGAAAATGAACCAGGATGCCAACCTGCAGGTCTGTAACCAGCTCCCCATGGCCACGTCCCTCCTCCTGTCCTGAAGGGATACTAGAGCAGGGCAGACTTAGACCAGCAGCACCTATGGAACTGGAGCTACACTGACCTCACAGTTTTGACTTTTTTCCAATTTTATCCCTTTTGGCAGAGTTGGAAGCAGCCCTGAGAGGCTCCCCTGTGCTTGTGGATTCCCACATTGTTTGTCACCTAAAGTCACAGGGTTTACGTATTTCCAAGCCTTCTGTGCTACAACACCCAGGCTCAGCACCTGCCAGGCTGAATTCCACCTTTGTACAAAGTTTGGGTTAATCCTCAGGTCTTTAAAGAAAAACGACAACAGAAAATGATTTTACTATAGTGGAAAATACATTAACAGCCTTTTAAATGAGAAGCTCCTCATTTAAAAGAAGCTTCCTAGTTTTGGAGAAGAGCCTAACAACTGATGGAAACAACACTTAGGTGATGGAAAACACTCTCCAGATTTCAAAGGTCTGCCTGTGTTTATATACACCTATAAACTGGTGAAAAATTAGACAGAGATGAGAGGGAGAGAGAGGCGAGTTCTCCAGATGTCCAGAACACGTGGACCACACACTTCAACAACCTCAGACCAGACACCAGCCCTGTAAGGAAGGAGGAGTCAGACCCATCCAGGTGCTGGTGGGAAGTCCAATACTCAACAAGAATTGCGGATTTCACTCTTATGCACATAGAACTTAGTATCGTTTTCTTCCTTCGCAAGAGATGGCAATACAGGGACTTTCAGGTGGAAAGCACTGGGAAGCTCAGCATGGCCCAAGCTGCTGCTCCCCCCTGACCTGTTTTCTGTGCAGGGCTTTCCTCCTGCACAGGGATCCCTATGTGGGCTGAAGCTTCCCTAAAGTAAGTTGCACCTAAAGTAAGTGGCTGGTCACCCCTCCCCAGCACTGATGACACTGCTTGGGGGATGCTGGTTGATGAAAGCCAACTTGGGGAACTGAAATAGGTTAAAAATAGCTCTGTGAGGTGACAACAGTTGTGCTACCTCAGTGGAGGGATGGTGAAAATTGAGAGGTCAGAAATGGGAACAAGCAGCTAAAAGGCAACAGCAGGAGAAATTCTTCAGTCTGATTCACTGCCAAAGCCCACACTTCAGTGAGTAACCTCTACTTTGTATTCCCTCCACTGTTCCTGCCCCCGGACTTGGCAGGACACTCGCCTTGATCTCTGATTTTGCAAGGGATGTGGTGACAGGGGCAGGAGCTGAAGGATTGAAAGCATGACCTCATCAAGTGGAAGATGGAAAACATAATCTCATAGTCAAAAAGGCCTTGAGTCACCTTTGGTTTCTATTCTCAGGGGACAATGGAAAGTTTCTCAAATGGCTGTTTCCACAGGTGCCCACGAGGTTTGGGTTCCTCTTCTTGTGTATTGGCAGCCAGATATGGTGGGCTCTGACCTGCAAAAGCTCTGAGCTTTTGTAACTTGCAAATCAAAGCCACAAAACCCTCCCCTGAGACTAGAAAAGAGTATAAAATAGGAAGCCTTCTGGAAAAATTAGATGCAGGCATTACAGGCTAGGCCCCTCCAGTCATCAAGCACTGGTGGCTTTCATGCCTCTGCCCCTGTTCATGGAAGGAAGTGATGACATCTGTCACCAGGCAGCATCACAGAAAAGCCCATAAAGAATGATTCAATCCTTAAATTTTCTAACTTTTGAGGTCTTGTGTACCTGAATGAACCCACCAGGTCCTCCCCACACTATATAAATCCCAAAGACTGGTGTTCAAATCCAAAACTATATGAGTTTCACAACAGCTGAGCAACTTTTCCATCCTCTTCTGGAATTAATTTCTCTTCCTGAACAGGAAAGTCAACAATTTGCTCAGAGAAGGAAAGGCCTCTTTTATTCTGAGCTCTTCCCACATCATGTGCGTCAGAACTGCTGATCACAGACAAACTTCCGAGTAACAAATTAAAAAGGGGAAGCTCCAGGCACTGCTCATAATGCAGGAAATGTCAGCATGAGGCTTAATTAAGGCATGACTCCGTATTCCAAGTATTTCACTCGCAACGTTTTGCTCTCATTGCACTTCCAATGCTATTTTTTTGACTTGGGACTTTTTAGGATACTCAAAATAACATTTGGGGGGGGATTCCTCATTTGCCTGAGCAGAAAATAATTTAGGTCACTCAGGGGATGCTTGGGGCCTTCAAAAATCCTCTGCAGCTTTTCTTGGAGATCTGGAGAAAGAGCAGCTTGATGACCCACCACCTCCATACCATGAACTGGAGAAGCCTTTGGATTATAGAATTATTAAGGTTGGAAAAGACCTGCAAGATCATCAAGTCCAACCTTGGACTGAATCCCACCATGTCCACTAAACTATATCATGCAGTGCCATATCCACTCCCTTTTTTGAACACTTCAGGCCCAAGGCCTGGAAGGAGAGGGGAAGGAACTGGGCTGGTCTGGGATGGTCTGGAGATGTGGAAGTGGAGGAAGGTCTCACAACAGCCTACCATTCCTGGAGGGGAAGCTACAGAGACATAAAGCCTTATTCCCATTGTCAGCCTGAATCATACAGCATGGGGCAGTGAGCACCAGCCCATGGAGACTCATGTTCAGCAGTCAGCCCTCTCCTCCCTCTGTATGTCTACACAAAGCTCTCCTGATTTCAGCTGTGGTGATTGCTACACAGGAGGTGTAATGTCCAGGTAAAGCCTGAGATACGAGGGGATTTCAGAGAGCAACCACAAAAGGAAGCTGCAAGTGAAGTCATGGGAACACACTGTCACCAGGCGATATCATGGCCGTGTGCGGCCCTTCCCACCAGCTCAGCCTCCCTGGTGAGTCAGTGCTTCCCAGAACAAGGTGGCTGCACACCATTTTTCTTGTGGCCATATCCCTATTATTCATTGCACAACCTTCAAACCTCCTGCTGAGTGCCAGGCTGGAATTGGTCCACACTTTCACTGTCTGGGTGCCGCATAGCTGGGAGATAAGCCTCACACTGAGGTTTGGAAGCACAAAAAGTCCACCTGGCAAAGTATTTTCACGCTATCTGTCGGGCTGGGAGAACTCAGGGATCCCAAAGATGCTACTTTCACCACCAAATCGGAACACCTGCTTTAAGACCCACAAGATCTGCTGGTTGGGTGTTTGAGGAACACTTCCCACTGAGAACAGTGTGCAATAAGATCGAATCTCAACCTCAAAGCCACCTGCAGCTGGCAATGCTCTTCTGCAAAAGGGCTGTCAGGGGCCCAAATTAGACCTTCAGGAAAGAGAAACAAGGACAGAAAAACATAGCCAGATGCAGCAGTCAGGGCTCAAAAGGAGCTCCCCTCCTTCACACAGGGTAAGTCTCAATTTTGTCATCTAAGGAAAAATGAAAATCCCTTTTCCCATTCACTATCAGAAGCACTGGCTCCCCAAAAACTCAGTGTAAGCCCATGCTGTTGGGGCTGGAGGCTGCCACGTGATGGAGAAACACTGCCTTTGCCTGGCTGTAACCTGCCCAAAACTGAACAACACTTATCCAGGGGCTTCTGCCAAGCTTGGCACCACTGCAGACTGTGCTGCAGGTCTCCCTTGAGAGAGCAAAGTTCAATTTCTTCTCTTTTAATTCAACAGCTGTTCAGAAAATTGCCAAATCCCTGCTCAGCACGGGCTGGTGGCTGGGCTGGCTTGGCCTTACCATAGACTCCCTTCCCCAGGAGCTGCAGGAACTGACTGACCGCTGCCGCCATCTCAGCCTTGTTCAGATCCAGGAGGGAGACAACCTGGAAGCCCAGCTGCTCCAGAAGATGACTCAGCTCAAACACATCCTTGACAGGAGCCATGAGGTTGGGATGATGCTGGTAGCAGTTGTTGCCCACTAAAAGTGCTATTTTGCCTGTAGCTGAAACAAACACCAAGTGACAAAGCTGTAAACGCAAGTTCTCACCTTCTCTGTTGGAGTGAGGAAATAGAAAATCTAAGAAAAGATTTAGGCAGGAAGGATAGACCCTAGCCTGCTGCAAGCCTGGAGCACCCTCCAGAAAGTCCTCGGCTTTCTGAACACTTCAACAAAATACACAAACAATCAATTTGACAGAAAGTTTACACTTGACAGCCAAAATCTCAGGAGTGCAGGAGATTCTGCTCTTCCTGCCCTACCGTGATGGTAGACTTGGCATGTCAGCAAGTGCGTGGGAGGGGGATGCACTGAGCCAGGCTAAGGAATCCTTTCCCTCACAGGGCTGAAATAGAGAAACCCTGGGATCCTGCTTTGATTTTATCCCCACTTTCCCACTGCAAAAAAAAGGATTTAGGTCACTCAACAGTGGTGGGAGAGAGGAGCTTTGCCCTGCTCTGAGGAGGTATTTTAAGGAAGGGAAAAAGTGTCATGTGAACAACACCTTTAAACTCATTTGGCAGCCCCAGAGCTCAAGACTCAGTTACTCATTAGGAATAATATTACTCCACTGGCTGAGAAAGATCCGGGCTTGGCAGGGGATTGGACTCATCTTGTGCTGTGCAGCTCTGATCCCAAAAGCACAGAGCCTGTTGCAATGTGGGCATAAAGGCTTGAAGTGGTCTCTGCGGGAAAAGCACTCCCATTCCCTGTCTTCCCATCCACCCTGGAGCCTGGCTTTTAATTAAGATAATAAGTGCTCAGGAAGAAAAGATGACAGTACTCACCAAAAAACTTCTCAGACCCACATGTACCTGGGAAAGAAAGAGGGAAATGATAAGCCTGTGCCCAGCATCCAGTGCCAAGTCTGAATCCTGCTCCAACATTCCCAGCAATGCACAGCTGGATCAAACACATAGAGGATCTGCATAAGCAACACTGCTGGGGCAACTTCTTCCCAGCCTGACTGCTAACCCTAAACACACTGGTCTTTATGAAATCCTGCCTGATTTATGACATCCTGAACAGCTGGGAAGCAAAGCCTGGAAAAGGGGCAGGCCAGGGAAGGAGGGTCAGCCATAGAGGATCTCATACCTGGGCTTCCTGATGTGACTCACCTGCTCCTTCACTGCAGCAAAAGCAAAGGAAACACTCACGGTCAATAAAAGCTCCAAAACAGAGTTTCTCCTCATAAACGTCTGGTGCAGAGGGAACCACCATTTGCTTTTGATTGCAATAATATTCTCTGAGTTGTTCATCTCCCTTTTCTGACTTTCTCTGCTTTTTAGCAGTTCTGGCTCAGAAAAGCCCCCCCAAATGTGACTCACTTTGGTGAGCCCCACAAGCTTCCCTGCCCAAGCACTTCCAGCTTCTTAAAATCAAAGTCAGCCAAACAGCTCCTCCTTTTCCTATTTAAATTAGAAATGAATTTCAAAATTCATCCCAGGAGAAAATTCCAAAACCCTACAGGCTATAAAAGAAGAAATCAAAGAGAAGTTGCATAGATCTCATGGGTCTGAAAGACCTCTGGCCCCTGAACCAGTGTTGCTGAGGCACCAGGGGAGCCTAGAAAGTTCAGAACAAAACCACACATCCTTTTCTGCCTCTGACAGAGGGACCCATTGCATGCTAAAGCTCCACAGCTGTAACACTTTGAACCCAACCCAATCTGGTGTCCTTTTTGGCAGTTTTGCCAGCTGTGAGGAGGCAGGCAGAGTGCTCTCTGGATATACAGGATCAATTTGCACTTTGGAGAAATTTTAAAGCCAGCTTAAAAGGCACGATGAGAAGCTTATGGCATAGAAAAATCTCTAGATGGAGTAAAGAGCCAGCCAAGCCAACTTATGGTATTCCTGCTTCACAAAGGGCAAAGGCAGGGGGTCAAAGGAGAGGTGGAGCATGCTTGAGGCTCTGAGGACACATCTTCTTCCTGGGATCCGTCACTCACGCAGCATCAGCCCTGAGCTGCCAGCCCGAGGGGCCTGAACCTTCCCAAAATAAACCCCATCCTCTCCAGCTCTCTATGTCTGAGCATCACTTCATCCCAGCGAGGCTAAAATGAATTTGGGCGCAAGAGCCCACTGCAGTTTGGCTGTGGAACTGTGAAATCAGCACCTTGGCAAGACAGGAAAACCACAGGGAGCAGCTGAGAGCAACGAGCGTGCCCTAACACAGCAGGTTTCTGAAGGACTGCGGAACCCAGTATCCCACCCTACCAGACGGCACATCACCAAGTCTGCGGGGTTCTCTTTTCCAGCCACCGCTTCCCTCGCTCCCTCTGAGCCCAGATATCAGGGAATCCTATTTATCACTGCCCTTGTTCACCAGCTTGGTGTTTCCAGATGAGAGCGCTGAAGTCCTTTGTATCCTCTAATTACTTCTCACTCAAGGTGATGTGCAGCAAAGCAATGGGGGTTGGCTCTGCTCACCTACGTAAATGTCCACAGCGTTGGTCCAGTGCTCTCCGTGACTGTTGGAGGCGCAGCAAAGGTACGTGCCCGAGTCACTGACCTTGGCATGGGTGATCTAGACAGATCAAAAGTTAAATCACATTATTTATGGTGAGAGTCTGCAGGTCCCTGCCAGGATCTGCTGAAGGCGCCCATGTTCCTGGAATAAAGAGTACTTTTCCTGCTGTTCACTGAGACTTTGCCTCGCAAAGAATGAGGACAAGAACAAGCACCAGAGCAGTACTGGCTGGCAAGGACTCTGGTTCTCCAGCCCAGGATCCTGCTCAGAGAGGGACTAAAGCTACCACTGAGTAAGGCTGGCTATAGCTCTGTCTATTCAAGCCCTGAACATCTCCAAGGACAGGGACCTCGTTGCCTTTCTGGCTCCAGCACAGCACCATTCACCTTAAAATGAACTACCTCTTCCTAGTGTCCAGCCTGAACTTCCCTGTCAGAAATGCAATCTAAAGACACTGACCCCAGTAATACCATCAAATACTACTGAGAAGACACTGGATCTCTTGTCCTTGTACCCTTCACGTGATGCCCTAGAAGGAAATCCCCTTTCTTGATTCAAGAAGACAGCACTGATTTACACTCAGCCAGTGACACAACAAAACCCCAGCCCTTCTGCTGCCTCCCTGACTCTTTTCTGTCAGGATTAACCACTTTTCCTTCTAGGTCTCCTCCAGGCAGACAGCATTCCCACAGGTCCATCACTCCACAGTCCCCTGCACAGACAGACAACAGCTGTTCTCATGCCTCTGCTGCAAAAAGGCTCAAGAGATGTGCTGAGAGCCCTTGATGCATCAAGGGATCAGTTACCTCTTAGGGAAACATCCACAACTTTGAAAGAAGCCCATAAAACATATTCCCCTTCACCCAGCGTTCTCTAGCCAGCTACCAAAGCAGAAGAATGATGCACAGAAGACTTTCCCACAACCCTGCAACCAGCTTCTCCCATCACCCACCTCAGCAGCCAAAGCTTCTGAACTATCCCCAAGCAACCTTACCCAGAGTTTTTTTCTCTTGTGTTGTTCCAGCAGGTTCCCATTCCGGTACCACTGGTAGCAGGGGGCTGGGACCCCCATGGCAGCACACTGCAGCTGCAGTGGCTTCCCCACCTCCACACGCTGCTCCGTGGGGTTGAGGATGATGACAGGCTCTCCTCGCCACAGCCGAGGGGGCAAACCTGCAAGGCAGCGACATGAAATTGGTTCTCCCTCCAAGAGGACAGAAAACAACAGCCATTTTTTTCCACCATCACTGGCTGCACCTTTCTGCTTTGGGAGCAAGGAATCCTTGAGAGCAACACCTGCAATAGTCAACACCAGACCACAGACCTGCCTCTGGCTTTCCAGACCTGACCCTCTCCCTTTCCTGCCAAGGGTGCAGTCAACATGCTGAGGTCAACCACACCCTGAGTTATTTTTGGTCAGCTCTGAAGTAGCCAGATGGACTCTTCCAGTCCCAGCACCCCAAATAGCCCTAGAAAACCCACAGTGAGTGATCAGCAGGAGGTGTAGGTACATGCCAAATTGGATGGGGCTTGGACCAACCTGGTCTAGTGGGAAAGTGTCCCTGCCCATGGCAGGGATGTCGAAACAAGATGAGCTTTAAGGTCCCTTCCAACCCAAACCACTCTGTGATTCTATGATACATCAAGAAGGTAGAAGACATGCTCATACCTCTGGCAACACACTGATGGACCTCCACCTTCACCCAGTCAGAAAAGACAGCATTTCTGTAGAGGTCATTGACTCTGCATGTGTAGAGCTTGGTCTGCTCTGCAACAATGGGCAAGTCTGGGTTGGTTGCTCCAGGAATCTGGCGGCAGTCAGACTAAAGGGAAAACACAGGCAGTGATCCCCTCCTCATTGCTGGCAGCAGAAGACACTAGGAAGCCTCTTGTAAGAGCAGCAAAAGTGGAAATTCCTGATTTCCTCCCTTCCTTCAGCTTCCCCACTGTGTGCAGGGACCCAGCCTGGTGCCATACCCAGGGACACATGCTCCTACTCTTACCTGATGCTGACAAAACCACTGGTACTGCAGCAAGGTGCGGCCCTCGGCTCGGCACCGCAGTGTGAAGGAGTATCCCACTGGAACAGAGATCGAGACTGGCTGCTCAGTGATGGCAATGGCTGTGGAGAAACAGGGTGTGGAGGTGGAAACAATGCAGTAGGCACAGCCCAGGGCTCGCTGGGCTACAAGGGCGGCATCCATCCTAGCAGGAAGGGAAGTTTGGAGGAACAAGGATGCTCCTGTGCAGAGGGAATGGATGAAAGGGTGGACAGATGGGTGGATGCCATGAGGCTCTTCTGGGTGCTCTCCCAAGTGCCATAGGGGCGGCACGGTCACTCTTCCCACCGCTCCGTGGTCGCTCACCTTCCTGCATCGCTTCTCCGGCGGCTCCTCCCCGGCCTGGGCGGCCGCCGGCCGGATCCGAGACGACTCCTCTCCCCGGGAGGCGGCGGCGGCGGCACCTGCGGCGAGGGGACGGCGGCGCTGGAGATGGTTCGGGCCGGACCAAGGCGCCGCTCACCCGGCGCGGCGGCCCATGGCGGGCTGGGGCTGCGGCGCCGGGCCAAGGCCCGCACTCCGCCGCCGCGGCCCCGCGGCCCCGCACTTCCGCGCTCCCAGCCCGCCCCGCGGGGGCGGCGCCGCGACACGGCGGGGCTGCGACGGCCCCACACGGCACAGACCGGACGGCCCTGCACGGTCCGGCCCGGCCCGACGCGACCCGACCCGACCCCGCACAGGGTCGCGCCTCTCGCTCGGGTGCCAAGGCTCCCGCACCACCCTGCCCACGAGTGACCTCTCTCCCTCGCCACAGTGGTGTCCCCCTCCCCGCCCCCTTACAGGTGTATTTGAACACATCCGCTCCCTATGGGTGTCCTCCTCTTCTTCCCACGGTGCCCCTCTTCCACAGTCCTTATAGGTGACCTCATCTCCACCACCACTGCTGACCTTCCCCTCATTCCCACCACAGGTGTCCTCCCCCCCCTTACAAGTGTACTTGTCCATATCCCCACGAGTGTACTCAGCCCCCTCCCTACGAGTGTTTTCAACCCCACCAGTTACCTCATCCCCATCCCCACATGCATCCTTGTCCTTTCCCCACAGCCGTCCTCACCCACATCCCCAGTGGTGTCCTCACCCCTTCCGCACAGATGTCTTTGCTTCATCCCCATGGATGTTCTTGCCCCTATCCCCATGACCACCCTTGCCCTCATCCCCACAGCCAACTCTCACCCCCTCCCACCCAGCCCACTGCTCTCACACCCTGCAGCTGCCCTCACCTCTCTCCCAGGAGCCATGGACAGAAAGGCTTATGTTGGGCCCAGCGCTGCTCTGCAGGTAGGCACACAGAACCTGCCTCCTCCTCCCAGAAGTCCCCGCCAGATGGGCCAGGCATCATGAGGGCCCGGGGGAAGTGGTTCAGGCAGCGCCAGAGGTTGCACAAGCCCCTCTGGGAGGGAAGGGACACAGTGGAGCATCAGAACTCTGTAGCGCTGTGCTGTGACTTGCACTTTCAAGGGTAGGGCAAGGTCAGACTCCTTAACCTAGAACTCTTCACCTTTCAAGAGGCAGCTTTACTACAATGAAATGAGCTGGAAATGGTGAACAGAGAGGACAGAGGGTGGCTAGGGAGTGACTGTCATTCCCAAAGAACTTTGAAGTGACCAGGCAGGGATAGTGGCACAAAGCCTATGGGGATGAAGCAGGTCTGGGCTTAGGACTTGGGGTGACAAGGTTCCTACTCCCAGGGCAGAGAAATTCCCAGCAGGCTGGCTTCTCCCAAATAGTTCTAGGAAGCAGGTCCCCACGGTGCCAGGAGTGAGGTGGACTAGGACTTCTGAGCATGACAGGGTACCATGGACCAGCTAGAGAAGCGACTGTGAGAGACTCTCACTTCCCTGCTGAAATTTCTCTCCCCCGGGGTTATAGCAGTGGCTATGGGCTGACCAAGGAAAAGTGAGGCCATCAGGGATGTCTCTCCCAAGTGGCAGTATAGAAGGGCACAAGCAAGTCATCAGGATGGCAGAGAGAAGCAGTTGTGGCTGAGAGTGGTCATGGATCACCTCCACAGGGCAGAGCTGGGAAATGCAAGGGTCCAAGGAACTAAGCAAGGCTGAGGGATGTGCCTCTACCTCCTGCTTTTCTCTTAGAACAAATGGGGAAGAAGGTGGTAGGAAAAAGCCAACCCAACACAACTAGTGGATGCAGAAAGGATTTTCTCCCTCTCTGTCTTTTTCTCTGTGCAGGATGGGACAGTTATGCTGCAAAGGCAGGAAAACCTGCTATACCCTGTCCATCCAGTGATTCTGAGCAATCCCTACTCTGACCAGGACTGGTCCTTTCCTTTCATAGATACAGAAAAGGTGATAGCTCATCTCCCCAGCTGTCTGAGATCACGCAGACCCTCCTTTTTCTTGACTTTTTGGGGGTCCAGCCAGGCATTTGGAAATACACACTTGCAGGTTTAAAACCTATGAATGATTGCAAGTGAAGGTTCTGGCTGAATATGTGCCAGCAGCTCTGTGCCACACCTGTGCTGCAGAGTTATTATCCATGCAGCACAAGTAACTAATAAAAATGACCATTAAATTAACCTCAGTACTTTCCCAGAGCTAAAGATGCCGATTCTGGTTGATGCAGCATCTCTTCAAACAGCTAGAGGTTGCTGCATTCCCTGTAGACTGTTTCTCTAGGCTACAGAGAAACCTCCTCCAAATACATGCTCAAAAAGTCTGTCATACTTGTCCTCTATCAGAGCCCTGTCCTGGCACGGTCTGTGTGAATATCTGGGGAAGAATCAGGGATGAGAGCTTGTTGTTAGAGTGCAGGAAGAAGCCTGTGGTTTTAGAAAGGGAGGAACTTATGGGCGCAGAGTGGGGTAAAGGGAAGAATAAATTGTGCGAGAGGAGAGAGAAAACATCTGCGATGCACTGTGAGTCAATGCTGGATTGGCAGGCAGAGGAGGAAAGCTTTGATAACAAGGACTGAATCCTTGTGGCTGGCTGGCTTAGGCTTCAGCAGCTAAATATGTTTCCAAAGGAGACGGGAGCAGAGGGCACTGTCACTCTCTGTGAGCTGAATGACAGGATAGCAGGCGTGAGAGGAAGCTGTCCCAGCAGGGACAGGCACAAGAACCATTCAGAGCCTGAAAGAGCAGAAAAGAACACAACCCCTGTGCATCTGGGGAGAGGATCAAACACCACAGCAGGCTTTGTCTCGTCACATCTGAGCTAAACCTGCACTCACCATACAGGTTTCCCTCCACTGCTGGGGTGAGGCACTGAACCATGTTGTATCCAGGGTGGGAAGGGACCTCTGGGGGTCTCTGGTCTAGTCCCCCCCTCTGAGAAGGATGTCAATCAGCTGCTCATAACCTTGTCCCAATCACTGTCTCACAGGATGGAGACTGCCCACTTCTCTGGGCCCTTGTAGTACTGTTTGATCTTCTTCAGAGGCCAATTAATTTTCCTAGTATCTAATCAGAACTTTCCTCCTTGCCACTTGCATTTTGGCCTCTCAGTCCATCACTCTGCATCTCTGAGTCTGTACCCTCCTGTGAGGTAGTGAAGAAAACAAGGAGGTCTCCGTTTAGCTGTCCCCTGAAGCCTGAAACCCAGCTTCTCTCACCATCTCCTCCTATGTCAGGTGCCTGAGCTTCCTCAATCTTCTTGGTGGCCTTCACTGGACTCATTCCAGTAAATCAGTGGCTTTCCTGTATTTGGGAATCTGCAACTAGACATAGTTCCAGGCCCAATGCAGAGAACTGCAGAGAACCTGTTCTAGATACCCTTCTCAGGTAGTCTGGACTCTGTTCTATCAGATCAACATGCCAAGAGACTGCGCTCATGGTGAGATAATGTGTAATTCGTATGCTGGGGCTTGAATTCAGGTTTCCTGAAGCTGTGGGACCTGAAAGTCCTCCTCCTCCTTCTTCCCAAGAAAGGGGTGGTAGCAGTACAATGCCACAGTGCGTCCTCCCAGCCCAGCATCCTCCCTCCCACATTTGAGCAGCAGCCAGAGTGCAGTGAAGGGTGTGAGATCAGGGCACACACAGTGAATATTCTTATGTCACTCAAACACTTCTTGAGCCAAAGGTAGTGTCTTCATCCTGCATAAACCTCAGGAGATTTTCCTTCCACAGATTTGTCCTGTGGATTTTATTAACCCCTACTGACCTTGAGCAGCCACAGCTGTGTGTGGGAGCAACTTAATGCCAAGGGGAGAGAGGAAGCATCTCCCTTTTACTGACTTTACCTCTTGCTAATTTCACTTGATGACCCTGGTCTTGTTCTCCTCATCCCTCACAGCTGTTTATGCCTCAGTCATGGCACCTTAGCTCATTCTCCCAGGCCGAAGGCTCCCAGTCTATGTAGTTATTCTTCATGCAGCAGCCAGGCTGGACCTTGGCTCATCCTTGCTCACCTTCTTTGTGGTTTAGGTTTGGAGGTTTTTTTGGGTATACTGTACTCTGTTAGAGATGGGTTATTCCTAAATGGCATTAGCCAACACAGAGCTCACTGCTGCCTATCTAAAATGACTATTGTGGTTTCTTCAGTGGATCATGTTACATTTGTTTTACGCAATTTCATCTGCTATTTCACTGCCTGGAGAAGACAAGGTCTTCAGTCAGTCCTCTTGGACCACCTTTCCTTATATTTCTTAGGATCACATCCAAATGTCTTAGGAGGTCCATCTCCTTTGCCTTTGCCAAGATCAAGTATCTTCTCTGGTATCATAAATTCAGCCATTTATATGCCTAATAATGTGATCACCTGCCACCATAGTGCACAGGTGATGCACACACTGTGCGTGTGCACACCCCAATACCTGTATGGGTGATGGACACTGTCTGTGTCCCTGCGCACCCTTGTGCCAGTGCCTATCCAAAGTCACCCTCCAAATCACAGTGTTAGCTGGGGAAAAGGAATCAGGAGTGTCGTGCTCCAAGTGATCCTTCACCTGCCCCCTGATTGCTGGTGCGTCCACTGCCTCTCCTACCCCAGGAGAATCAGCTCAAATCCTGTTCTCTTTCCCAGTCTGGAGCAATTTGCCATCATCTCCCTGCTTCTGCAGCAATCACTGCTGTGCAGCTGTGGGCAGGCAGTGATCCACAGTGAATCTGCTCCATCCATCATCCCAGGGCTGGAGGGATGCGATGCCACCAATGATGTGCTTGCGGCGCATGATGCAGCAGCTTGACAGGCAAGAGGAAGGCAGAACAAGAATAAATCAAATTTTACTACTCATTAGGTTTTCATTTGGTATTAAATCACTGCTGGTAATAGTCTGTGACATGTACCCACCTTTTATAGCCCTGTTTTGTGCTGTCTTTTCCATGGAGACTATAAATACCATCACAGACCTTCTTCTGAGCATCCCGAAGATGAAGAACAGGCTGCCAAGGCATGAGACCCCAGTGTGAGGACATGATGCTGAGTGGTGCCACCAGCCAGGGTGGGAGCCTCA